TCAGATACCTGAAATATCCGTGATTGCAATTTTTTTGCATTACTAAACATTTATGAAATTTCATTAATCATTTAAAAAAGGTATTCGAATCAAAGGCATGATAAATTCCTACTTTCGGCACTTTTCGGTGGAAAAAAGAAACAATTTCATGGCAATCACATTATTTTCTAAGTAAAACGTAATGTCAGAAGCATTTCTAATACAAATGCAAGCAAAAAAACAAAAAAAAACAAAAAAAAGTGAAAAGAAAGAGAGCCGGAACACGCGTTAAATGAGGGGAGAAGGTTCCTTTTAGCGTGAGGGACACTGCACGACTAAAACCTACCGTAACCCTTTATTCCGACTTCTTTCTTTCTAACTTACTTTTGACTTTCATTCAACATGTAAAGGTGCGTTTTCAGAACTAACGTAGTGTCAGTGATATGACCGGAGAGTGTGGAAATGATTTTGGAAGTTTTCGGCCCTTGAAAACCCGAAAAAAAGGAAAAAAGTAGCCGGATGTCGATCGATTGCTTCTTATCTCTGGTTTGAATCTCGCTAAGAAAACAACATTATTTTCAAGATTACGAGTTCACATACATCAATAAGAATGATTAACTACGTATGATAACATTGAGAAACTGAGGATGTTCACAGAACACTGTGAATAACAAATGAAATTTATACAACAACCTTTTTTTCATTCTATTGACGGGTTTTCATTAAAATTTTACACTAATTTCCACGCTTTTTTACGAATTTTACCACCGTGTCCTCAATAACGTTTCAATCACACTCTGAAGACTGTTTCCTTTAGAATATGCGTCTCTAATCGAGTTAAAACAATTGATCGATACTTTATTTGAACCATGATGATTCTGAAAATAATTATTTTCACTCACTTGATGAAGAAAAGCGTACAGCTTGTTCCTGTTTTGACTGGATTGAGGCTTCAAAGCGTCTTCTTTCTGGAGAGCAACTTTGTATCGTATTCATCCAGCAATTTATTCGAACGCTGAAAAAAATAATGTCTGAAAAGTTTTAAAATAATTTTTTATAATTTTTGAAATCCAAGAGCAGAAAAACTAAATTAAAAAAATGCCAAAGGAAGCTCCGATGGAAACAGTTCAACTGTTACGAAAAATTTTACGGAAAAATGCGCTGATAAATTTTGAAATATGCTCTTAATTGAATTCATATACAACGCTGGGGGAATCATCGCCATAGTCTATCATTCGGTAAGCATCAAAATTGATAACCAACTTAACGGACTTTTTTGTTCCTGCAGTTGTGTTCTTGGGAATCAATAAGTGTTTTTGTAAAAAAAATGTTCACTTTTTGAGAATAAACGCATACGCTCAAATAATAATACACCCGAAAAAGAAAATTAACAAATCGACGATTATTGGAAGGTTGAAAGAAATAAAGAAATCGGGACAGACTGATATTTAGGGGTCGCGAGTCCTCTAAACGCGGCATCGTCTTCGTTGTGAGGGCATCGGACGTTTCCCGCTTTGGGTCAAAAATGCGGATCGATCTCGCACTCAAAATATGTACTTGTGTCTCTGTAAGGAGCTTTTTCCAAAACTCTCAGAGAAGTAAAATCATTGGTGAGTGTCGTGGAATGCCCTTTTTAAAACCTAAACTTTTCGTTACGTTTACTTCTCGATTCGAAAAAAATGAGTTTTGCTAATAGTAAAAAGAACTTCAAATTTCTGAAACAACCGTTCAATTTTTTTGAGTATTTTCCTTTGTCCTTTAGAAGATATTTTTTTGTTAATGGTTTTTTTGAAAAAAATTTTTTTCAATATGTCTAATTTTTTTAGTTTTAATGCTCATCTGAATGGAAACTGATTATAAATCGGTTTTCAGAATCTCTCGAGTACAATTTCATTCATTTTTTTTGTCGCCGAATGGTTCGAAGTATTCGTCGTTAAGAATAAAAATTATGAGGAAGTGAGATTAAAACAAAAAGCTTGTAATTCTTAAATCAAGGAACACAATTTCAAGTTTCTTCTTTTTCGAAAAAAATTGATTTAAGAAAAAAAGTTTTATAAATTCAGAGCCCGCCAGCCCTCGAGAAGCTGGGGGGCCGTACTGTTCCTACTCGGGGAAGCAGCTGATTTTTGGAACGCTTAACTTCCTAATTTTACTATCCGAAAAAGATCAAGATGATCTACAAACTGTTCTTGGTCAACGCGATCTCGCAAACAGACAATAAACTTTTTATTTATTCTATGGTCTCATCTGTTGCGTTGAAAAGTTTTTCTATTTGTTATTTCTTTTTTATTTCAGTTGAAAAAGAATCCTTTTTTTTCTTACTCCGCCCTTTGGACTTTCCTTCTCTTCCTTCAACCAATAGCATTGCGGGCTACAATCGATGTCGTTGAGGGTGCGAGAAAAAAAGGCGAAGAGCGACCCGATTGTTATTCTTCGATATTCTGCCTAGTAAAAGATAAAAAAACACGGCAAAAAAATGTTTGTCATTTTTTTAAAAAAAGTCAAATTTTTTTGAACTTTTTTTCAATTCCTCAAAAAAATTGAAAAAAATCTTAAAAAGAGTTCATCAATTTTTTCTAAGTGGAGAATCGCAGTTAAAATTTGAAGGATTCTAAGATGACAGATTTTTCTTTGACCGATGCGCAACGTGAATTTTGAATACATATTCAAAACATGTAACTTCTGAACCAAATGCCAAATTTAAAGAAAAAAACGTATTGAAAAAAATTTCTTCAAAAAAACTATTAATATCTCCAAAAGGGCTCGGGAAATTTCAAAAAAAAATAGACAGTTGTGTAAAAAATTTGCAGTTTATTTTCTATTAGCAAAAATAATTCTTCCAATCGAGAAGTGAACGTAACGAAAAGTTTCGGTTTGAAAAAGGGCATTCCACAACACTCACCAATGATTTTCCCTCTCTGAGAGGTTTGGAAAAGGTTCCTAACAGACACACAAACACATATTTTGACTGCGAAATCGATCCGCATTTTCGACCCAAAGCGGGAAACGTTCGATGCCCTCACAACGAAGACGAAGCCGCGTCTAGAGGACTGTCGACCCCTAAATATCGGTCTGTCCCAATTTTTTTCTTTTTTTCAACTTTCCAATAATCGCCGATTAATCATTAGGTGTGATCCGACGTTACCAACATGATTGATTTTCAGCATTAAATTATAGTTATTCGATCCGTCTCGTCGAGATACGTACGAATATAATAGAAATAATAAGCTCTGACCTTTTTAAAAAAATCTAATATGAATTTATGAGTTTTCGATAGAGCAGTTTCTCTCAAGAATTGCAATTTTTTTGCTTCTTTTCATCATGCACATTTTTTTTAATATATTACTTCAAAAAAATAGGTATAGTGATGGCTTCGGTCGGCGACGGAAAGCGCAAAGCGCGAAGCCAAGCCCAGCTCGCTTCGAGAAACTGAGCCACAGAGAGAAAATCGTCGATTAAAAGAACAACTTCATAAAAAGCTTGTCTGTTCAAAACGTGGAACACTTACAAAACTATCTGGTAGCTTTACACAATTCCATACGCGTAGCGATACATTCTGTAGAATATGTTTGCCAAAAAAAAGAAAAATGTTGAAAGAGCAAACCATTAGTAGGCGTGGGCTTTGGAAAGTTTGGTTATTTTTGCTGCGATTCTTTCTTTTTGTATTTTTTTTTCAGTTTTCTGATATTATTCAACTTTAAAATATTATTTCTTCTCATGCCGTAATAGCAATAGTTAAATTAAATAAGCGTCGAAACATGCAGCAAAGTTATCATCAAATTTAAAAACGTTTTGGTTTTTTTTCTGTTTTCAGCACACCATAAATTTATTTCTTCTCACTAGCGGCCAATAATATTATGGTAATCCTACGTATCTCAACGAGACGGATCAGATGGTTACGCTTTTATGCTGAAAATAAAACATGTTGGTAACTTCGGATAATTCCCATTATTATTTCTTTGTTTTTCGCGTGCTTTGTCACCTAATCTTATACGGTTTTTTCGAGAAGTAGAACATTTTCCAACAAAAAAACACTTCAAAAAAATTACTCGGTTTTTTTCGCGGAACTTGCGATTCGGAATATAATGCAAAAATATACTTATATATATATATATATATTTTTGTTTGAATAGATTTTTGAATGGTTCCCAAAGATACAACTGCAGGCACAAAAATGTTCTTTCAGTTGGATATAAATTTTGATGCTCAGCAAATGATAGACTACGGCGATGGTTCACCTAGCGTTGTATATAAATTCAATTGAGAGCATATTTCAAAAATTCATCAACACACATCCCGTAAATTTTTTTATAACAATTAAACTATTTCCATCGGAGCTTTGGCTCTTTTAATATTTCCGACTTAGTTTTTTTCTGCTCTGATTTTTGAGAACTAAGAAAAACTTGTTTTGAAACCTTTTCCGATATTATTTCATAACGTTTAAATAGTTTGTTACATGAATACAATAATATAATGTATCAGAAATCATCACGACTTCATAATAAAACAAGGCACAGCAACTTCTCGAGCACCTGCGGCATGAAAAAAATGATTTCGAAGGCAGGGCGTTGTTCGGACTTCGTGCAAGATACGAAGCCGCTGCTCAGGAAGAAGAGGTTTTGAGGTCCAGATCCTGTCACAACAAAAATGTGCATTACGCTTTTCTCCATCAAGTGAGTGGGAGAAGTCATTTTTATAGGACAGAATTTTATAGAAAAAATAAAAAAGGATAGAATAGAATAGAAAAAAATAGAGTCATATTGTTCAAATAAAGTTTCGATCAGTTCTTTTTAACCCGATTTGAGACGCATTTTTCTGGAGTAGAAAGTTTTCAAACTGTGATTCAAACGTTATCAAGGACACGCAGAAAAAGTAAAAGAACAAAAATTCGTAATTCTTTGATAATCATTATAAAAAAAAACTCACTCGACAGTTACAAATATCTGTGAGTTTCAATGCGGTCAAACTTCTCTGACATTTTTGAATTCTTTTTCTCACTTTCTTTTTCGTGTGGAAATGATTCTTTCGGAAGTGGTTATTTTGTCTTTGATAAATCAAATTTGAGGAAAAAAATAGGGTTTCCGAGATTCCAGCAATCAAAAACTCCGTTCAGATAGAACTGTTTTGCCAAAGACGGCTTGTGCTGCGTCTTCAGCTCGCCGAGCTCGTTCCCAGCAGCTGGCAGCTGAGGTTTCCCAGCAGCCCGCTTTTTTTGAGGTAATTATCCAGTAGAATCTCAAAAAAAGTGTTTATTAACACTTAAATTAGTTTCAAATCGCTATAACTTGGCTCCTAAAAAATCGAAGTTACAGCAAATTCAAAAATTTTTCAAAAAAAAAAAATTTTTTTCCCGCTACGGAAATGTTTCAGCTGACCGAGAGCGTGTTGTCGCAGCTCCCGTCGGCTGCTTTTCGGCCTACTGACCTTGAGGATCACGTCGTGCCTGCGGCATCGACTTTGTCGCTGGCCGATGTGAGTTTACTTTTACTTTGAAAAATAATTTGCATTTAACAAAATGAAAAAAATATAGTTTAAAAAAAGATATCAAAAAAAGATCCAACTTCGAAGAGAGGTCGCCACGGCAAAATTCCGTTTCGGGTGAATCCGCACAATAAAAACGGGTGAAACAGTGTGAAACCAGGCGATCAACGCAGCAATAAAGTCTTTCTTAAACTTTTGCATTGAGTCTCACTTAAGTGATCTTTCAAGTAGCAGGGCATTTCTAAAATTTTTTTGGCGAGATAGGTAGATTGGCAATCGTGAAGCGTTGCCCACGCGACGCAGCTTTGTCGGAATCTCGAGTTAAAACGCAAGCAAGAAAAATTTTAGAGTGTGATCGTTATTATTTTCATACTTCTTCTTTTTACACTTAGCTTTGAAAATCAAGAAAGGAATAAGAACTCACTGGGAATCTGTCAAAAAGAATATGGGGCTCTTGTTTGACCTCATGACTTTTTGCCTCACTTTTTTGTCAGTAGACATGTACCGTCTTTCGCGAAAAAAAGTAACTTTAAAAAAATGACCTTTCAAAATTTTTTTTTCTTTTTATTTGAAATACTTAGTTATTGAAATTAAAAAAATTCGGCTGTTTTTTTATTTTTGATTGACGTGTTTTTTCAGGACGATGGTGAATAATAACAACCGGATTTCCAACTACAACTACGTTCTCAGAACTCAGGACTCACCGCATCGTGAGTTTCCTTAATTTTTTTTTCTTTTTTTTTCTGAAACTAATACACCTAAGTTGTTTCATTATGATTACAAAACTGCCATCGTTACCAATTTTCATTTAAACATTAAAAACGTTTTTGAGCAGATTTCTGAAAGCTTACTTACTGTCAAGCAGAACCTACCTTTCTAGAGAAAAATGTTTTTTTAAGATCGTTCAATTGAAAAAAAGAAGCCAACTAAAAGCTCATAAATATGAAAAGATGGAAAAATATATTTATTATATTATGAGATTCTTTTGCAGATGTTGACGCGATAGTGCAGTTCCAGACGCCGCGACGTTCGCGTTTGGACAGCTCTGAAACGGTGATGGAGGGAAATCACCGTGGATGATATCACGGTAAGGCATTTTTTTCATTTGTTTTTTTCAGTGATGCAAAAGTTAAAAATAGGAAAAAAATTTAAAAAAATCAGTTTCTTTTTCTGCCTTGAGAACTCACTTTACGTTTTTTGCTCACTCACAAGAAAGTATTTAGCAATCAATAATTACCTGGAAGTTTTAGTTTTTTCCAGGACAATGGTGAACAACAACAACCAAATCTCCAACTACAACTACATCTCCTCATCACCCACGACCCTTTGATTCGTGAGTTCCCTTGGTTTCTCCAATACCTTTCTGAATATACGAAATTCAGGGCCGTCCCCACCGCCACAGTTTTATCCGCCGGAGCAACAGCAATGAAGAATAGTTAGTTTCTCTTAATTTACCAAAGATTTTAAAAGATAAATATAAAATTTCCAACGAACAAAACTTACATTTTTTGCTCATTCACAAGAAAGTATTTAGCAATCAATAATTCCATGAAAGTTTTAGTTTTTTTCCAGGACAATGGTGAACAACAACAACCAAATCTCCAACTACAACTCCTTATAACCCACGACCCTTCGATTCGTGAGTTTTCTCAGTTTCCTCGGTTTTTTTCCTTTTTTTATTCCTTTTTGAAACTCGTAATTGTAAGTTTTTTTGATTATAATTACAAAACTGCCATCGTTAACCATTTTCTTTAGAAAATCGAAAACGTTTTTAAGCAGACTTTTGAGAAATTGCTTACTGTCAAGCAGAACCTACCTTTCTAGAGAAAATGTTTTTAAGACTTTCAATGGAAAAAAGAAGCCAAGTAAGAGCTCATAAATAGAAAAGATGGAAAATATTTTTATTATATTATGAGTTTGTTTTGCAGATGTTGACGCGATAGTGCAGTTCCAGACGCCGCGACGTTCGCGTTTGGACAGCTCTGAAACGGTGATGGAGGGAAATCACCGTGGATGATATCACGGTAAGACATTTTTTTCATTTGTTTTTTTCAGTGATGCAAAGTTAAAATAGGAAAAAAATTTAAAAATCAGTTTCTTTTTCTGCCTTGAGAACTCACTTTTACGTTTTTTTGCTCACTCACAAGAAAGTATTTAGCAATCAATAATTACCTGGAAGTTTTAGTTTTTTCCAGGACAATGGTGAACAACAACAACCAAATCTCCAACTACAACTACATCTCCTCATCACCCACGACCCTTTGATTCGTGAGTTCCCTTGGTTTCTCCAATACCTTTCTGAATATACGAAATTCAGGGCCGTCCCCACCGCCACAGTTTTATCCGCCGGAGCAACAGCAATGAAGAATAGTTAGTTTCTCTTAATTTACCAAAAGATTTTAAAAAGATAAATATAAAATTTCCAACGAACAAAACTTACATTTTTTTGCTCATTCACAAGAAAGTATTTAGCAATCAATAATTCCATGAAAGTTTTAGTTTTTTTCCAGGACAATGGTGAACAACAACAACCAAATCTCCAACTACAACTCCTTATAACCCACGACCCTTCGATTCGTGAGTTTTCTCAGTTTCCTCAGTTTTTTTTTCTTTTCTTATTTATTTTTGAAACTCATAAACCTAAGTTGTTTTATTATGATTACAAAACTGCCATCGTTAATCATTTTCCTTTGCAAATCGAAAACGTTTTTAAGCAGACTTTTGAAAAATTGCTTAATGTCAAGCAGAACCTACCTTTCTAGAGAAAAATGTTTTTAAGACTTTTCAATGGAAAAAAAGAAGCCAAGTAAGAGCTCATAAATAGAAAAAGATGGAAAAATATTTTTTTATTATATTATGAGTTTGTTTTTGCAGATGTTGACGCGATAGTGCAGTTCCAGGCGCCGCGACGTTCGCGTCTCGACAGCTCTGAAACGGTGATGGAGGGAAATCACCGTTGATGATATCATGGTAAGGCATTTGTTTTTTCAGTGATGCAGAATTAAAATAGGAAAAAATGAAAAAGTAAATCAGTTTCTCTTCTGCCTTGAGAAAAAAAACTTTACATTTTTTGCTCACTCATAAGAAAGTATTTAGCAATTAATAATTCTCTGAAAATTTTAGTTTTTTTCAGGGCAATGGTGAACAACAACAACCAAATCTCCAACTACAACTACATCTCCTCATCACCCACGACCCTTTGATTCGTGAGTTCCCTTGGTTTCTCCAATACCTTTCTGAATATACGAAAGTCAGGGCCGTACCCACCGCCACAGTTTTATCCGCCGGAGCAACAGCAATGAAGAATAGTTAGTTTCTCTTAATTTACCAAAGATTTTAAAAGATAAATATAAAATATTCAATGAACAAAAAAAACTCTTTAAAAAAACCATCAAATGTGTAATTTTCAGACGACTATCATACGCAGAGCGGTCAACTGCTCCGTATAACCATGCTTTTGGTTCGTTGATTTTTCTGTTGAAATTAACGAGAGAATTATGAAACCTGAAATTGAAAAAAAAAGGCGAGTTGTCTGCTTTTTCAATTATTTTTCTTTGCAGGTGCTGATCCGGGAGTGGACTTTCCGACGCAGCGACGCTCGCCCCTCGACAGCTCCGAAACAACGAGGAAATAAAATCAAATTGAACAAGATTTCGTTGCAAGGTTTGTTCCTTTCTTTTCAGTTTTTTTCTGATTTAAAGTTGAAAGTTGTGACATCCACTTCTCGTTCTTAGTTTTAAATGGAATTGCATTCCAGGAAGAGGACGACGAGATGGAAGGTACGGTCTACTTCAACGACATCTTCTACGACGAACCAGACCAATAGCCCAGCTGCAGGCCCGAAAGTGACCTGAGAAATTTTCAACTGTATATAATTTGGTATAAAATGTGATACTCGAAATAAAATGTCATAATCGAAGTTTGTTATAAGAAATCATGAAAACACGTAAAGTACAGAGAACTCATTTGGGCCATCGAAGGTTTTGAGTTGACGCAGGATTTGGTCATTATTTTGAAGCTGAATGTGTATTCCAAAGCGTTATTTGGAAATAGGAAATCGAATAGCTGTGATTTAGAATCGTCGTTTTATCCGAACTTCTTCTTGTTTTCACCAGTATTCCGACAGAGATTCAATGCTGTTTTTAACAGAGATAATCCACAAAATCTCGTTACTTAGAATTAAAAAGTTTCAAGTTGATAACGAAACAGAAAAGCGAATTCATATTCGAGTGATTTCAGAAAATCAAAAAAAGGTCGAAACAGAAACGAGATGTACGCTTTTCTCAATCAAGTGAGAGGGACAAGTCATGTTTGCAATCATTATGGTTCAAATAATGTATTGTTTATTTTACGACAATCGGTAGTCGAAATCCAAACTTTTAGGCAATCTTCGCATTTTTGTGGGTCCAATGGCCGAAAATTTCCGAGAATTAATAACAAACTTTCCAGCAGTATAACTGACACTATGTTAGTTCTAAAAACACATTTCCATGTTAATTGATAGTGAAAAAAAGAGGAGAAAGAATGAAGTCGGAATAAAAGGTTACGGTAGGCTTTAATCGTGCAGTGTCCCTCACGCTGAAAGGAACTCTTTCCCCTCATTTAACGCGTGTTCCGGCTCTCTTTCTTTTCACTTTTTTTGTTTTTTTTTTCTTTTTTTGCATGGATTTGAGTCAGAAAAGCTTCCGGCATTACGTTTTACTCAGAAAATAATGTGATTGCCATGAAATTGTTTCTTTTCTCCATCAAAAAGTGCCGCAAATAGGAATTTCATCCTGATTTCGATACGAATGCTGTTTTAAATGTTTATTGAAGTTTTATAAATGTTTAGTGATGCAAAAAATCACAATCACGGTTGTTTCAGGTATCTGAGCCGGCCGCAAATATGTTGTTCAAACTTCGCGCACGACAAGAAGCCGCCGCTCGAGTCGCTGCCCAGGAAGAAGGAGCTTCGAGGCCCCAATCCAGTCATAACAGAAGCACGCTGGACGTTTTTTTACATCAAGTAAGTTGCAAAAGTCATATTTACAATCATTATGGTTCAAAAAAGTATTGATCAGTTTTTTCAACCCGCCTTAGACGCATTTTCCAAGAAAAATAGCCTTCTAGCGTGATTTGAATATTAGCGTATACGCGGTGATAAAGTAAAATGGGAAAATTTGTGACTCTCTGATCGAAATCTCTAAAAAAAAGCTCACTAGACAAAAAAAGCGGAAAGTTTTGCTTACATCCGTTGTTAATAGTCATTTTTTAATAAAGTCTCAAAAAAAACCCCTTCGACAAGTAAAAATACAGTTTTGAGTAAAGTTTTCAGTGGCTAATAACAGATTTCTGTAATTCTCCTTCTATTTTGAGTTTTATTATACATAGTTATCGTTCAACTAAGTTTCATCAGTTAATAATTACTAAAGTTCCTTAAAAACTTCGATCAATACTTTTTACCCGACTTCAGACGAGTTTTTCATCATCAGTAGATAATAACCTTTCTTATTGTTAATATAATCGTAATTCTGACGTTAATATGTAATTCTTATAGTAAATTAAATCAGAACTGATCGGCAATCAGTAGCCGGATGCCGAATTTTTTGCATTTTTCCCTTTTTTTTCGGGTTTTCAATGACCGAAAATTTCCAAAATCAGTTCCACACTCTCCGGTCATATCATTGACACTACGTCAGTTCTAAGAACGCACCTTTACATGTTGAATGAAAGTCAAAAGTAAGTAAGAAAGAAAGAAGTCGGAATAAAAGGTTACGGTAGGCTTTAGTCGTGCAGCGTCCCTCACGCTAAAAGGAACCTTCTCCCCTCATTTAACGCGTGTTCCGGCTCTCTTTCTTTTCACTTTTTTTGTTTTTGTTTTTTTTGCATGGTTTTGAGTCAGAAAGGCTTCTGGCATTACGTTTTTTTACTCAAAAAAATTATGTTATTGCCATGAAATTGTTTCTTTTTCCACCGAAAAGAGCCGAAAATAGTTTTTTATCCTACGTTTGATTCGAATGCTGTTTTGAAATGTTTATTGAAAGTTTTATAAATGTTTCAATAATGCAAAATTATACAACTGCGGCCATTTTAGGTTTCTGAGCCGTCCCGCACCACCAGCAATGTTGTTCGGAATTTGCGCACGACAAGAAGCTGCCCAGGAAGAAGGAGCTTCGAGGCCCCAATCCAGTCATAACAGAAGCACGCTGGACGTTTTTTTACATCAAGTAAGTTGCAAAAGTCATATTTACAATCATTATGGTTCAAAAAAGTATTGATCAGTTTTTTCAACCCGCCTTAGACGCATTTTCCAAGGGAAATAGCCTTTTAGCGTGATTTGAACATTAGCGTATACGCGGTGATAAAGTAAAAGTGGAAATATTGTATCCCTCTGGTTGAAATCCCGAGAAAAATTTTGCTCGACAGTTATAAAAAGCTGAGAGTGTTGCTGACATTCGTTGTTAACAGCCATTTTTGAACAAAGTCTCAAAACAAAAACCTCTGACAAAAATAAATAACGTATACTTCCATTCGTTAACAACCGATTTCTGTGATCCTCCTTACATTTTTTGTTTTATGGTCGATAGTTAATAACTTTACTTGCTGTAGATGTGCTCGTAATTTTGACGATGATGTGTTATTCTTTCAGGAATTCAAATCAGAGAAAATAAGCAATCGGTAGCCGGATGCCAAATTTTCCGCATTTTTCCCTTTATTTCCGGGTTTCCCATGGCCGAAAATTTCCAAAATCATTTCCACACACTCCGCTCATATCACTGACACTACGTTAGTTCTGAAAACGCACCTTTACATGTTGAATGAAAGTCAAAAGTAAGTTAGAAAGAAAGAAGTCGGAATAAAGGGTTACGGTAGGTTTTAGTCGTGCAGTGTCCCTCACGCTAAAAGGAACCTTCTCCCTCATTTAACGCGTGTTCCGGCTCTCTTTCTTTTCACTTTTTGTTTTTGTTTTTGCTTGCATTTGTATTAGAAATGCTTCTGACATTACGTTTTACTTGGAAGATAATGTAATTGCCACGAAATTGTTTCTTTTTTCCACCGAAAAGTGCCGAAAGTAGGAATTTATCATGCCTTCGACTCGAATACCTTTTTAAATGATTAATGAAATTTCATAAATGTTTAGTAATGCAAAATATCCCAATCACGATTATTTCAGGTATCTGAGCCGACTTCTACGCCTGATTCCGTCTACGCCCAACACCAACTACACTTTGCCGCGTCTCCAGAGGACGACTTCAACGACCGAATTGTGCCGGATACTATTTGAATGTTTCGACAAGAAGAATTACATGTGATTTTGCTTTATTTTTCTCTATTTATAAAAACACGCTTGAAAAAAATAAACGGAAGTCCAAAATCAGATTTTTTCAGGACTGGTGAATCTTCCCGACGCCTAAACCTTCCCGATCTACCTACTTCTTGTCGCAAAACTCATAATAAATAAATATTTGATGAGAGCCTGTTTTCTAACAACAAAAACCTGGATGCAAATGTAAATCAACAAGTCTACGACCGCTGGACAGTTGTTGGACAAGTCTTCAAACAGTTCGATCCCAGAAAATGTCGCGACAGGAACTGATTATTGTGTAAGTGAAACAATTATAGTATTTGTTTTATTTTTTGTGGTGCCAATTGTACCTCCCTCTGTGATTGGCCAAATGAAGTAAGTGGAAAATAACTGGAAACTTGAAAGAAAGTCTGATGAAAAAAAGAAAAATCATAATTTCACATTACGAGTCGGATAATTTCGGTTTCTTGTCGAAGGAAAACATGAATTCACCGATCCAAACATTGTTCATTGTAGAACCAAAGTCTTCCATGGATTTTTTCAATATTTAAAATTATTTTTTTCTTGAGGAACCCCTTGAAACTTTTATTAACTGTCATTCCAAACAGAAAGAGTGTGTGACTGTCAATAACAAAAAAGATTCTTTCATTTTTTCATTGTGAGGGGAGAATTTTCTTTATTCAAACTCAATATTCTTTTTTTTGCACCGAATTCCGCAGAGGTAATAAATCACCGAGAATAAAAATGTTTCATGGTTCGAAATAGACAAAAACTGTACAGAACACTTTGATCATCTTACCGAAAGTTGGGAAATAAATTGACCAGAAAAAATCGCAATAATTTCTTTAAGAACTGGGCGAAATAGCCGTAAATAATTTTTGGAGACACGCCAAAAACCATTGGAAGTTTTGTTCTAACGTAAAATAGAATCGAAATGTAAAGTATGAACTACGAAATATTGAACAATATTGATTTCAAAGTTTTATTGTCACTTTCCCGTGAAAACCTAAGACTGGAGAATAGAAAAAATCTCATAAAGCTAAATAATTTTCTTTAAATGGGCGACAAAGTTCGACTCGTCATGTGTAATTAACACGGACTTAGAATAAAACATATGAAACTATTTGAACACGTGAGTCGCCTAGGAATTTGCTTCAAAGTATTTTTTATTCTTTGATACTTCGTCATCTATATTAAAGATTAAATAAAAATAAATGTTCAACTGAATTTTTATTTCAGGGTTTGTATCATCGACAAGATGTTCAACTTGTGCAAAATCCAGCATTTGAAGTCACTTTGGTCCCATTCACTTGTTTTACAATCAGGAAAATCAGGTATTTGTTTTGTTTCTTCTTTTTCACATGACTTTTCAAATACATATTGTCATTTTTTGAAAAGAAGTAACGTGGGAATTCAGTTTTTTCGTTTGCAAAGTACAAAAATGAACGAAAAGCTCTCTAAATTTCTTTCCATCTGTCTCTGTTTCTTTTTAATTCTCATCAAATTCGTGAATAATCATTATTATTTCAGATTCACCTCAAAAAACACTCCGACAACAGCTTTTGGCGCCTTTACAGCCTAAGAAAACCCGGTACTTTTCGAGTTTTGCCGACGTTTCCAATATACAAACAAGACTATTCCACAGAAATTTGGCAGTATTTGGGATTTTTCTCGAAAGACTTTAACTGATCAACTTGCAGGATCCGATCGCCCTCGCGGGCTTCCGAACAACGAAAGGTCGGATGGAAGTCGTCTTCCACGCACGACTACAACGACCAATCGAACGTGGGCGGTGTCGTGAGTTTGCATTGTTAGGGGAAGTAGGTGAGGATAAGGGGAAGGTCTGAGTCCAGTTAGGTGATCGGTAGGGAGTCCAGGGGTCGGAAGGGGTGTTGCTTCGGAAACTTTTCTCAAACCAGGCGAGTTTCAAACTTTCGAATCAACACCTTTTCTGGAATTTCCAGTTTCAACCGGGTATTTTCTCAGTTCACAGCAGGGCTTCTCAATATCATAAAATAATTTTTCTGTTTTCGTGACAATTTGAAAAATCTTTTTTGATTTCTGTAAAATGACCCGGAGGTTCAAACAAATAATTTCTTGAACAAATGTTTGGAAGTATATTTCGCTTCAAAAATCGCCGCAAATCGATAATTTTCGCTTTTAAAAAATAAATTAAACAGAGTTTTGTTAGGAAGTCCCGCTGTGAGGTGATAGAATACACTGTTGAGAGATTCTAACAGAAATGTAAGTTAGAAATCAAATAAAGTTTTAATTTAACAGAATTTAGGCTTAGAAATAGTGTCGGAAAGGTAGTTAGGGATGGTCAGGCGATAGTTTAGCTTCGAATAAAGTTTTCACTCTCATGTGGGAACTACGCAAACTCTTTTTTGCCAAATCAGTTTTATAAGAAAGTGTTAATTGTGGATATGAATACGTGGAACTGAAAAAAAATTACTTGTTTTGACATTAGTTTCTTTAGAATTTCTCCAGGTTCGGTAGTTAATTTTTTCTGGTTATCAAAAAAATTAAATTGTATTAGCAAACAAAAATCTTTTTTATTTCGAACAAAAGAGTTTGCGTAGTTTTTTTGTTAGTTCTGAGAGGAAATATTAAAGAGGGTGTTGTTATGAAACTAATAGGGCTGAATGGGGTAAGATTTCGAAGAATAGTGGACATTTTTTTAGCCTCTGGATTAAGATATATTGTTAAGAAGTTATAAAAAAACATTTGAATAGATGTTAAGTTTTAATTTCATATACTGGATTAAAAAACGGCAAAAAGAATTGACTTTTCTAAAATTTCCACCAAAAACTTTTTTTTTCACGCAAACAAAAACATTAGGAATTTGATTTTGAAACGAATTGTTTCCATAAAGTTAGTTCGATTGGATAATGGTATCTGGAGCAAATAAAATGAGTTCAAAGAAATTATAAATGGCGTATTTGAAAAGGAGAACTGAAGGAAATAACTGGAATTGATGGAATAAATTTTGCTGGTTGAGGTAATTAGACAGGGTATTTTTTAAGTAAGCGCAGTACCAATCAAAAAATGCTATCATTTTTATTTCGTGCGAGTTTCCAATCATTCACTTCTGAACGCTCAACTTATTTCGAAAATTTGTACATTTTTGAATAAATGTTTTTTGACGAACCGAGTCGGAATTTTTATTTCTTTGGTAAAACGTTTCTTTTTTACTTTTCAACCCAAAGGATTTCGGATTTGGATAATATTTTGCATTCTTTGATGGGTACTGTGTTTTAATTGGGACTGAAACGGTAGAAACTCATTTTCTTAGTTGACTGGGGATTATTAGATTAACGGATTTTGTGTTGAATGTTGAATGTCTTGTCCTTATGTGTCGTCCACATTGTCCTTTGTCCCACTAAAACAAATTACAATACAAACACATCCAATAAAGTATCACACAACACAAAAAAACAACTTAGAAGGATTCTCAGCGTAGTTTTGATATCTTAGTTGGGTTTCCTCTGGTAGAACGTCGTCTTCTTGTTATAACTACGAGTTTTTCCGTCGTTAGCGTTCTTCGGATTCTCATCAACTTCTTCGCAGATTTTTCTTCTTGTTTCAGTGATCAGCGGGCATAAGGTGAAATACAAAAAATGGTCCAAAACCCAAAAAATATTAACGTAACACAAAAAAAAATTCGTTCCTTAGTTTCAAGGCTTGGATTCGTATCAACTATTGGGAATTCGTCTGGTTCTCGTTCTCACGGATGAATCAACAGTCGATTGAGTGGAGTTTTTCGAGTTTTACGTGAACCGTCTCCTAACTATCCAGGAAGAACTGGATAGTTAGGAGATGGTTCAAGCTTCGTAGTTGAAATTTCGGCTGACTGGGACGTCTTCTTCTCGCGTTTTTGTAGTCTTAAAAGGTCCATCAGAAAATTCTGTTAGAAAGTTCGGCATGTCCTCTGGAGTTGTGGGTGATCGCTCCGTGTCAACTGGAAGAAGTCGTCTTGTTCAACTTCCTACTGTAGTCTTCTAAGGATTTGGTCTCGAATGAAGTTTCCCGTTCTTCTGATATTTTTCGAGGTCTTTTTCGTCAATTCAGTCATGGCTTTCGAGTCTTTCAAAGTGTAGATGGAAGAATTCTGTCTTAGAGTAGTTTTTCAATGAGGGGAGCTCTCAAAGATTAGGAAGAACTGGAGAGTTATGAGATGGTTCAAGCTTCGTAGTTGAGATTTTTGTTGACTGAGAAGTCTTCTTCTCGCGTTTTTTTGTAGTCTTAAAAGGTCCATCAGAAAATTTCTAGTTAGAAAGTTCGGCATGTCCTCTGGAGTTGTGGGTGATCGCTCCGTGTCAACTGGAAGAAGTCGTCTTGTTCAACTTCCTAGTGTAGTCTTCTAAGGATTTGGTCTCGAATGAAGTTTCCCGTTCTTCTGATATTTTTCGAGGTCTTTCTTTCGTCAATTCAGTCATGGCTTTCGAGTCTTTCAAAGTGGTAGATGGAAGAATTCGTCTTAGAATAACTTTTCAACGAGGGAGCTTTCAAAGATTAGGAAGAACTGGAGAGTTATGAGATGGTTCAAGCTTCGTAGTTGAGATTTTTGTTGACTGAGAAGTCTTCTTCTCGCGTTTTTTTGTAGTCTTAAAAAGGTCCATCAGAAAATTTTGTTAGAAAGTTCGGCATGTCCTCTGGAGTTGTGGGTATTCGCTCCTTGTCAACTGGAAAGAAAGTCGTCTTGTTTAACTTCCTAGTGTAGTCTTCTAAAGGATTTGGTCTCGAAATGAAGTTTCCCTGTTCTTCTGATATTTTTTTCGAGGTCTTCTTTCGTCAATTCAGTCATGGCTTTCGAGTCTTTCAAAGTGGTAGATGGAAGAATTCGTCTTAGAATAATTTTCAACGAGGGGAGCTTTCAAAGATTAGGAAGAACTGGAGAGTTATGAGATGGTTCAAGCTTCGTAGTTGAGATTTTTGTTGACTGAGACGTCCTCTTCTCGCGTTTTTTTGTAGTCTTAAAAGGTCCATCAGAAAATTCTGTTAGAAAGTTCGGCATGTCCTCTGGAGTTGTGGGTATTCGCTCCTTTGTCAACTGGAAGAAGTCGTCTTGTTCAACTTCCTAGTGTAGTCTTCTAAGGAATTGGTCTCGAATGAAGTTTCCCTGTTCTTCTGATATTTTTTCGAGGTCTTTTTCGTCAATTCAGTCATGGCTTTCGAGTCTTTCAAAGTGGTAGATGGAAGAATTCGTCTCAGAATAATTTTTTCAACGAGGGGAGCTTTCAAAGATTAGGGAAGAACTGGAGAGTTATGAGATGGTTCAAGCTTCGTAGTTGAGATTTTGTTGACTGAGAAGTCTTCTTCTCGCGTTTTTTTGTAGTCTTAAAAAGGTCCATCAGAAAAATTCTGTTAGAAAGTTCGGCATGTCCTCTGGAGTTGTGGGTATTCGCTCCTTGTCAACTGGAAGAAGTCGTCTTGTTCAACTTCCCTAGTGTAGTCTTCTAAGGATTTTGGTCTCGAATGGAGTTTCCCGTTCTTCTGATATTTTTCGAGGTCTTCTTTCGTCAATTCAGTCATGGCTTTTCGAGTCTTTCAAAGTGGTAGATGGAAGAATTCGTCTCAGAATAATTTTCAACGAGGGAGCTTTCAAAGATTAGGAAGAACTGGAGAGTTATGAGATGGTTCAAGCTTCGTAGTTGAGATTTTTTGTTGACTGAGAAGTCTTCTTCTCGCGTTTTTTGTAGTCTTAAAAGGTCCATCAGAAAATTCTGTTAGAAAGTTCGGCATGTCCTCTGGAGTTGTGGGTATTCGCTCCTTGTCAACTGGAAGAAGTCGTCTTGTTCAACTTCCTAGTGTAGTCTTCTAAGGATTTGGTCTCGAATGAAGTTTTCCGTTCTTCTGAATTTTCGAGGTCTTCTTCGTCAATTCGGTCATGGCTTTCTAGTCTTTCAAAGTGATAGATAGAAGAATTCGTCTTAGAATAGTTTTCAACGAGGGGAGCTTTCAAAGATCAGGAAGAACTGGATAGTTAGGAGATGGTTCAAGCTTCGTGGTTGAGATTTTGTTGACTGGGACGTCTTCTTCTTGCGTTTTTGTAGTCTCAGAAGGTCCATCAGAAATTTCTACTTGAAAGTTCGGCATGTCCTCTGGAGTTGTGGGTGTTCGCTCCGTGTTAACTGGAAGAAGTCGTCTTGTTCAACTTCCTACTGTAGTCTTCTAAAGATTTGGTCTCGAATAAAGTTTCCGTTCTTCTGAATTTTCGAGGTCTTCTTCGTCAATTCGGTCATGGCTTTCTAGTCTTTCAAAGTGATAGATAGAAGAATTCGTCTTAGAATAGTTTTTTCAACGAGGGAGCTTTCAAAGATCAGGAAGAACTGGATAGTTAGGAGATGGTTCAAGCTTCGTGGTTGAGATTTTTGTTGACTGGGACGTCTTCTTCTTGCGTTTTTTTGTAGTCTCAGAAGGTCCATCAGAAATTTCTACTTGAAAGTTCGGCATGTCCTCTGGAGTTGTGGGTGTTCGCTCCGTGTTAACTGGAAGAAGTCGTCTTGTTCTACTTCCTACTGTAGTCTTCTAAAGATTTGGTCTCGAATAAAGTTTTCCGTTCTTCTGAATTTTCGAGGTCTTCTTCGTCAATTCGGTCATGGCTTTCTAGTCTTTCAAAGTGATAGATAGAAGAATTCGTCTTAGAATAGTTTTCAACGAGGGGAGCTTTCAAAGATCAGGAAGAACTGGATAGTTAGGAGATGGTTCAAGCTTCGTGGTTGAGATTTTGTTGACTGGGACGTCTTCTTCTTGCGTTTTTGTAGTCTCAGAAGGTCCATCAGAAATTTCTACTTGAAAGTTCGGCATGTCCTCTGGAGTTGTGGGTGTTCGCTCCGTGTTAACT